TCCAGCCCTCGCCCGTGCCACCCCCGGTCCTGACCCAAAGCCAGGGCCTCCCTCCCTCTGCCGGCCTCCACCCGGGACCTCCCGGGCAGGCCCCCTTTTCCCAGCATCCGTTTGTCCCCGGGGCCCCTGCTTCCATCACTCCTCCCTCGTGCCCGTCGTCGACGTCCACGCCGCCTTCCGTGCCTGGTGCCCCACCTCAGGCGGCAGTCTCCACCTCCTCCTCCTCCTCCTGACCCAAAGCCAGGGCCTCCCTCCCTCTGCCGGCCTCCACCCGGGACCTCCCGGGCAGGCCCCCTTTTCCCAGCATCCGTTTGTCCCCGGGGCCCCTGCTTCCATCACTCCTCCCTCGTGCCCGTCGTCGACGTCCACGCCGCCTTCCGTGCCTGGTGCCCCACCTCAGGCGGCAGTCTCCACCTCCTCCTCCTCCTCCGCCTGCAGTGGGAACGTCCCTGTGGTGACGGCCTGCACGATGCCGCCCATCCAGATCAAGGAGGAGGCTCCCGATGAGGCTGAGGAACCGGAGAGCCCGCCTCCCCCGCCAAGGAGCCCGTCGCCAGAGCCCACGGTGGTGGACACGCCCAGCCATGCCAGCCAGTCCGCCAGGTGAGGAGGGCAGGTGTGGACAGAGCCAGTGTAGGCGTCTGGGGTGGGCTTTTTTCCCTCTGTGTGACTCTTCCACTCCTCTGTCCCGGAAAGTGAAGGAGCCATCCTGGATCGGTGAGCTTGGCCACCAACCCTTTCTTCTCAGGAAGACACGGCATCCCTTGAATGGGCGTTGTGCCCTTCTAGTGGTCATTCGGGGGGAGGTTGTTTTGGTTTTAGATGTAGCTGTTTAGGGAAACCATTCACTTCAGAAGGTCTTAAAGGTTCTGCACCTCACCAGTTTATGCTGTGTTCCCCTCCTCCTTTTTCTGGTTTTCAGGTTTTACAAGCACCTGGATCGTGGCTACAACTCCTGTGCACGGACAGACCTGTACTTCATGCCTCTGGCAGGTTCAAAGCTGGCCAAGAAGCGTGAGGAGGCCATCGAGAAGGCCAAGAGGGAGGCAGAGCAGAAGGCAAGAGAAGAGAGGGAGCGAGAAAAAGAGAAAGAAAAGGAGAGGGAGAGAGAGCGGGAGCGGGAGCGAGAAGCAGAAAGAGCAGCGGTAGGTTGGTCTGTCTTGACAAGCTGAAGGAGTCCCGAACGGAAACTGCCTTTGCACAGTGCCTGGTTGTGTTGTGTTTTTTGTTTGTTTAAATTTATATACTGCCCCATTAGCGCATACACACTATTCTGGGTGCTTTACAGGCAGCTAAAAACAATTTAAAATTACTATCAACAATAAGTTAAAACAGAACTACTAACAAGTGTGTTTTCAATTGCCTCTCAGTGGAAGAAGGGAGGGCACTCGGCATAGCTCCTTCGACAGCTGATTCTATAATGTTGGAAGGACCACACCGAAGGCCCTCCCTCTTGTAGATGATTTCTGGGCCTCCCTCGGGGTGGCTACACAGATGAGCCTAACCTGAGATGATCTTGTAGGTTGGGCAGATGCCATTGGGGAAAGATGCTCCAATAAGCAGCGTGGTTCCCAAAGCACAGGGAGCCGTTTCTTAAGATGCTTTGAGGGGTTCACTCAGCAGAATTGCTGGTTAATTTTGAGTCACTGTGAACATGGACCTTCATCACGGGAGGCAGGCAGGTTGGCGTCTGTTTCAGGGGGCCTCAAACCCCACACACCTCGCATCCAAGGCCTTTTACAGGCTTCCGCCTCGGACCCCATTCTTCAGGTTACGGCTTAACCTGCAAGTAGACATACAGAAAGAAAAATGGTCATGAACGCTCTCCTGTCACGAGTGAAACTCAGCCTTAGTGATGGAGTGGCACCAGCATCAGTCTCTTCTCCAATTGTTCATACTCCTTTGAGAACCTTCTCTGTTGCTGAGGGCTTTGGATAGAGATGACTAGAACAGCAGGAGCTAGAGAGGCGCATTGCAGTCAGTTGTCCAGACTTCTGCTGTCCTTTAAGACCATTGTCAGGAAAAGCCAGTCTCTCTTTTACTGCCTGTTGACTTTTGGGGGGGGATTTGCGTGGGTGTCAATGATTTTGGAAGTTGCAGAAACAACCACCTGGTTCCTGCAGTTCCCCTCCAGAGTACTGCCAAAGCACAGCTGCTGTTTAGCAGTGCAGAATTTTAAGGGCTACTGGCTTCTGAGCTCCTCACCTTTCCTTCGTAGGTTCAGTACAGGACTAGACTAGGCTGCACACTTGTTTGCTTCAGGAAAGCTAGACTGAAGTAGTTTACCCCCAATTCTGAGAGGAGGAGAACCTCATGCCAAAAGGCCTTTGGCCAATGTTTGGTTTCACGCTAAGGGTCTCCCCTCTTTTGTGCTGCAGAAAGCGTCCAGTTCCTCCCATGAAGGACGTCTCGGGGAATCCCAGTTGAGCGGGCCAGCTCACATGAGGCCGTCGTTCGAGCCGCCCCCCACCACCATAGCTGCCGTCCCTCCTTATATTGGGCCAGACACGCCAGCACTACGGACTCTGAGCGAGTACGCCCGTCCGCACGTCATGTCCCCCACGAATCGCAACCACCCGTTCTTTGTGCCCCTCAACCCCACCGACCCACTCCTGGCCTACCACATGCCCAGCATCTACAACGTGGACCCCGCCATCCGGGAGCGGGAGCTTCGGGAGCGGGAGATCCGGGAGCGGGAGATTCGGGAGCGGGAACTCCGCGAGAGGATGAAGCCCGGGTTCGAGGTGAAGCCTCCGGAACTCGACGCGCTCCATCCGGCCACGAATCCCATGGAGCACTTTGCCCGCCACGGCGCCCTCACCCTCCCGCCCACAGCAGGCCCCCACCCTTTCGCTTCCTTCCACCCGGGGTTGAACCCCCTGGAGCGGGAGAGGCTCGCTCTGGCAGGCCCCCAGTTGCGGCCGGAGATGAGCTACCCGGACAGACTGGCCGCCGAGAGGATACACGCCGAGCGGATGGCCTCGCTGACCAATGACCCCTTGGCCAGGCTCCAGATGTTCAACGTGACGCCGCACCATCACCAACATTCACATATACACTCACATCTGCACCTCCACCAGCAGGACCCGTTGCATCAAGGTGAGTTGGGGCTCATCCTGTTTCTGTGGCTTTGCACCCACTTGGCCGGCTCTGCCCACAAGTTCTAAAGTGGCGGGACGGGCTCTCGACTCTGTAGGGCGAGGACGGTCCTGCGGGTGATTTTTTAATATTTGAATTGTTGCCTTACGAAGAGGAAGAAAAAAAGAGCTTGTCGCGAAAGAGCTGAGCTAGACTGTTTTAGCTTTGGAGGAAAAAGTTAGCATCCTTTGTGCTTCCCTGGGGGAGGGTCTACTTGTAGTGGGACTGGAACTCCTCTCCTCATCCTGGAAGCCTTGGCCGTCCAGAAACCAAGCCTGTTTTCTGTGATCTTCCACTCTCTGTCACGGCCGTGCTAGGCTAATGGTGTGTGCCTTTTGTGTGTTAAACATGGGGTCTTCCAGATTCTGTTGGACTACATGACCCATAATCTCTGACCATGAAGCATGCTGGCTGCGGCTGACAGGAGCTGGAATCCCGCAATGCCTCTGGGTTCACCGGCAGGCTTTCCCTATTTCCGTATTTTGCCAGGATTGATGTGGGCCCGCAGGTCACACTTTCCTGTCCCTGTTCTAGATTGTGTGACAGAATGTCAGGCATAGTGTTTTCCAGCGTGTGGGCAGAAATAAAGGGAGGACAGAAGAGACAGAGAAGCAAGAGGGGTGTCTGAGGAAGTGGGATTTGATCCACGAAAGCTCACACTGAAATAAATCTGTTAATCTTTAAAGTGCTGCAGTTTTTTGCCTTTTTATCCTTCCCCACCACACTTAATTTTTTAAACAACATTTTGGGAATAGGTAGTGTATTAATAGAGTGGTCGACCAGACCAGATGGGCGTTCCTTTTTATCCTTCCCCACTGCACTTAATTTTTTTAAACAACATTCTGGGAATAGATAGTGTATTTGTGTTTTTGGTACCCTTTTCTGTGAGCAAGACTTGCTCCTTTAAGAGGAATAAACTAGTACGGATTAGACCATAAACTATATGTTGACATAGGGGATCGGAAAGCAAGGCACTGGGTTTGAGGTGGTTTTCAAATTTTTCCTTCTCTTTTTGGATTGACGAGGGTGGCGTTAATTGAGGCAGGGAGATAAGGGTGTGAGGGTGCGTGGGGCGTGGGCATGCAACCTTGCAAGGTCAGGAACAAAAGCCGGCTCTCCAGCACAGAATGTACTGTCCCTTTCATGGATCAAGCTGCAGATGTACTTTTTGTGCAGGCAGCTAGAACAAAGCCAAGCCTGCATTTAAAAATAGACGGGCGTCTCTGCTTTTCTGGGTTAGGTATGGGATTGCAGTAGCTACCTGGGGAATACAGCTCTGTGTGACTCAGTGGAACTCAGTGATGCGGAGGCTTTAGGGAGAAATTATGCCAAGGGGGTAAGATAATAGCATTGTACAGACCTTGTGGGTATAAGATCTCAAAGTGGGCCTTGCGTTCTGCTTGGTTCTTTGCAGGTCCTCTATGGCTCCCATGTTCACGTGGGAGGAGGGTGTTGGGAAACTCTCCAGAGCCTCTGTGTGCTATTAAAGGGGGTGGGGGGGTCGCTCAGCTGTGGGTCATGTGGTGGGCATCCAAACTGTACCAGGTTGAATCCAGGGAATCTCCAGGAAGGGTTTGGGAAAATGGCAGTCTAAAATCCCGAAGAGCCCATTCTTGCTGGGGGGAGGGGGACAGACGGGGGACAGATAGCCACCTGAGAATGATCTTGCCACTGGCGTTATTAGAGTCTTCTATGGAAAGGGGCTGGTGGCATCATGGGTGCAGACAGGCAGAGGCCAGCCCAGAATGACCTGGTCCCCTCACCACCCTCAGTCCTGGGTCCCTGCCATGGAGGCTTTTGCTGCCTTTGCCCCTCAGACCTGGTCACAGCATCTCTATTTTCCACTCCTTGAGGGCCCATATGGTCTTTGGCTTCGGCTCGGCTCAATTGTCGTGAACCCTGGGATTTGAACCGGCTGTAGCTGTTCATAGAAACCCGGGAAGCGGTCTTATCCTGATCCGTACCATCAGTCGGTTTCCACTCAGCATGGTCTGTGATGACTGGCAGTGGCCGTTCCAGGTTTCAAATGGAGAATGGTCTTCCCCTCGTTTTGACCAGGGGTGCTGGAGGCCTCCTGCAGGCAAAGCAGTTCTGCCACTGAGCATAAATCTGCTTTTTGCATATTGCCGGAAGTAATATTGTCACCTTTTCCCACTGGGAAGCTCTTTCCTTGATATGAGATGCTTGAAGGTGGGGTGCCGTGGAAAGAGTGAAAAAATGGACACATCCTCTTGTGTTGTTCGTACATTTAAAGGGAAAAAATGGAACGAAGGTGGAGTCCACAGAACAGTGTCACCGACAGCCTTCTGCCCAAGAGATCCAGCTGATTCCAAGGGACATCTCTGGGCCCCGGGACAAATCCTGTGCCACCGGTCTTAGAATCAAATCCTTCACTGGACCTTGGCGTTGACCTCTTGTTTTTCTAGTCAGCTGTTTAGGAAGGCTAGGATTCTACTACACCTGGTAGATCCATGTTGCACCAAATTATTAAAAAAAGCCATCAGACTCCTTTGGGTATAACGATATGATAGGATCGATTCGTTTGTATGGAATAGGGATCGTGTTGGGAATAGCATTCCAGAACAGGGAGTGGAATGGAGAAACTTCTAAGGCCCAGATTTGTTGAGATTCTGTGTTCTGCGTATGCCCAGCTGTGCATGCGTCATGGGGGGCAACTTTGCAAACGTGGGTTGTTCGGAGACCTACCACTGCTCAGGTTTCCAGGCTTGTCCTTAGAGCGGCCGCTCTCAGACAGGCTGACGTTCTTGGCCGCTGCAGCAGGATGAGAATCCGGGTCAAGATGGCCGGCAGAATTCTCCTCTTGATTTTCTGGGAGCCTTCAGAAAGCACCTGTCAGATTAGCTGCCTCTCTTTTCATGTGGGATATTCAGTCAGGCGGGCCAGGGAGAGGATTTACTCTTTGAGGATTTACATTTTGAGGTTGTTTGGGGGCGGGGGCGTGTCCCGCTTCCCCTTTGTGAACTGTCCCCACAGAGGGAACTCTTGGGAGGGTTTACAGGAGTTTAATTTGAACTCTCCCTCACCAGCTTTCTGTCGGTTTCTCACAAGTTGCATATGTGTCCCTAGAACATGGAAAATGGGTCGTCGGTTTTCTGTAAAATGTTCCCAAGCAGGCGAGGAATGAGATTTTCTACCCCCTGAACAAGCTACTCCCTCAACCACGAGCCTTTCATTTGAATGCTCATATGTAAATCTAACCTCCTCTCCCCCCGAATTAAAGATAGAAAGCAAGCCTGGTATTTGGATGTGACACCTTGATATTACACATCAAATCCCATCTCCCATTTTAGTGGCTTTTTGCCGCGGCCATAAGGTTAGAAGCCTGGCTCTGCAAGATGCAGCACTCTGCCCTTGATCCTGTGGAGAAGGCATGGGGAATGTGCGGCTCTCGAGGGGAGCTTGAATTCTGAGCCTTCCATCACTGTCCGCTGGTCCGCCAGACCTGTTTGTGCTCTTCTAGGAAGCCAGTGAGGACGTCACCCTGGAGTCCATTCCAAGAGTTGTGTCCCTGGAATGAAAATCTGCGGGACGGAAAAGAATGCTGTAATTCTCTGATTTTAGGACTTGGAAGCTTAGAATTCTGGCGTTTGATGGGATCCTGGGGTTCATCTGGCCCAGTGGCTCCCAACCTTGGGTCCCCCCTCCCCCCCCCACGCCCAGGAGTTCATGGACTAAAACTCCCAGAAGCCTCCACCACGAGCTGCGCTGGCCAGGATTTCTGAGAATTGTTGTCCAAGAACGTCTGGGGACCCAAGGTTGGGAAGCAGTGATCTAATCAAGCCCTCACCCCCTTGCAAGAATCCACAGCTAGAATGTCTCTGTCAGATGGGCGTCTGATGTCTGTTGAGAATCCTGCCACACTTGTGCAAGCCATCCATTTCATGGTTGAGCAGTTCCTGTCATCATTTATGTGCGGTACCTTGGCTGGTTTTTTTTCTTTCTTTTAATCAGTCAAGCAACACTGAATTTGATTAAGGCTTTGGCTTGTGTTTTCAGCTTTCAGAAGTTCTTCAGAGGCATTGCTGAGAAATGGCATAGAAACCTCTGCAGTCCAAGAACTCGTAGTGATCCACGGATAGTAAAATGAGGATGACCCTCATTCCTCCCAGCTGTTTTTTCCTTTCCCTTTTTTGTTTTAAACTGTTCAACCCTGTTTGGCAATCAGACACTGCAAACGGAGAAGCAGGCTGCGCAGCTGGAGAAGGAAGACACGGGCCGCTTCTGACAGTTGCCTGCGGCGCTCCGCTTTGTGCAAGTCTCGGAGAGGGGCTTTTGATCCTGAGGTTTTCTAACAGGTGGTGAGTTGTGGTTTGTTGTGTGACTACCCGGACCTTTCTCTCTTGCAGGCTCTGCGGGCCCTGTTCACCCCCTTGTGGACCCGTTGGCAGCCGGGCCTCATTTGGCACGGTTCCCCTACCCTCCCGGTACGATCCCCAACCCATTGCTCGGGCAGCCGCCCCATGAGCACGAAATGCTTCGGCACCCTGTCTTCGGTAAGTCTGCGTGCCTGACGGCTTTTTCTGCATGAACGCGAGAGGAGGAGAACATGCGAATGATATCAATGGATCTGGTCTGTGGTCCGTCTATTCTAGCATCCCGTTTCCAACAGAGGGTAGCCCAGGTGCCTCTGGGAAGCCCACAAGGAGGGCGTGACGGTAGCAACAGCCCTCCCCCTCTCGTATTACTCCCCAGCCACTGGTATTCAGACCTGTCCGGCTTCTGTAGATGTAAGTTCTGTTCAGCTGTTCTTATTCGTTGCTGTTGATTATCCAACTGTGTTTTGGTTTTGGTTTTTGGTTTTAAAGCCTTCGGGGGCGATTGGCCACCCCGTCCCGTGGCTCGTGTGTTTTGTAACCAGCATTGCATTTATGCATAAGCTAGGAAAGCTCCAGGCGGGAGCCTCAGATTATCCACATTTTGGTTTAATAATAAGGGGGCTTTTGTGCTTAAACCTATATTAAGGCTTCAGCGTGTGCTAACCTGGCCCCTTCTCCTAAGACGTGATTAATTACATAAAGAAATTAAAGTCTCTTGATTATCACTGGTATGCAGCTAGGATCAAGAAGCAGATTTCACATGCATGCCAGGAAGGAACGTGATGGTTTTCTCTTCCTCGCTCAGGTACCCCATACCCTCGTGACCTCCCTGGCGCCATCCCTCCCCCCATGTCCGCAGCCCACCAGTTACAGGCCATGCATGCCCAGTCCGCAGAGCTTCAGAGACTAGCAATGGAGCAGCAGTGGCTTCACGGGCACCCCCACATGCACGGAGGACACCTCCCCAGCCAAGAAGACTATTACAGGTAAAGCTGGGCAGGATTTCCCTCCCCCCCCCCAGAGCAGGGAGGATTGCTAGATCTTGCGATGCATGTTTGGTAGAAGGCGGGCATAAATGAACGATTGCTACTACAAGGAGGAGAATGGAATTTAATTATTGTTTGTTAAAGTTATGAGGAATATGGGTAAAATTCAGGATGTGATGTTAAAATTTTGTCATCATCCACTGTCAAGTCAATTCTGACTTAGGGTGACCCTCTTTTGCGGTTTTCCATGTAGAGAACACTCGGAAGAGTTTTCACGTTCCCTTCTTCTGGGGGTGCCTTGGGAATGTGCTGCTTGCCGAAGGCAGCCCAGGCTGGCTCTTCCCCGCTAGAGGCACAGTAGGGGATTTCAACTCTCACCCTCTAGCTCCCATTTTTTAAAAAAGCCTCTGACTTATCTTTTTAAAATGATTATATTACGTATTCATTTCATTCTTATTTGTCTGTAAAAGGTAAGGGGACCAAACAAATATTATTGAACTTAACCTTGTTTTTGTTCTCCTTTCTGTTTTCAAGTCGGCTGAAGAAAGAAGGTGACAAGCAGTTGTAATAAATTATTTATTGGTAATCCCAGCTACGGAAGATCTCAGTCCTTGGGGAGCAACGGAATGTGTGCGTGTCTCCCCTGCAAGAGAACTGGGGGAACGGCAGGAGAACGGTCTTCTAAAGATAACCGTTCTCTCTTTAAAATGGAAAAAGAAAAGCAAACCAAGAAAGCCCGACCTTTATAGACTTTAAACAGCCTCATATATTATAGCATTCATTTGTAGAGAAGATTTCTCAAGACCAGTTCAGGAGTCTCTCCTTGCATGACGAAACCTGTTAAGAAGCCTATTGAAAAACAACCAACCGAGGACTGGATGAAATATTCAGAGAATTTCTTTGGGCAATCTTGGGGGTTTGTTTGGTTTTTTTGGGGGGTGGTTTGGTTTGGTTTTTCATTTTGAGTAGGTGCTAGAATCAGGTTCACAACATAATGCAAGCCACTGTGCATAAAAAAAAACACTCGATTTATATATAAATATATATATATACTTTAAAAAAAACCAAGAATTACAAGTAGGTGGCATAACAACCTCTGAAAATCCAAGTGCTATAACAAGAATTTTAAAAGAAAAATCTACTTTTATTTTAATACATTGTAGGAAATCTTCATAATTTTAAAGAGAGCTTTGCAGCATGGCTTTTTAAGTCTGTAAATAACTTTTCCGGGTTAGGGGTTTAAAAGATAATTATTATTAATCTCCACAAACTCCTGACTTCTTCTCTTTCCCTCCCTCCCTACCCCTTGCCTTCAGTACCATCACAAAATCGTTACTTCTTACCTGGTGTTGACAAGAATACAGAGTTGATTTTTTAATATAAGAGGAATATATATAATTATCCCTTTAATTAAAGGGACGAGGACAAGGGGGAGGGGTCACTAATTTCAAAATGGGCCAGAGCTTGACTTTACAGCTGGGTAGCAACGTAAGCATTAAAAGGAGTTGCAGGGATAATGTTTAAAGAAAAAAACACAGCTGCTTTATTTTGCGCGCATGTGTTTGTTGTTCTTTTTAATTTAATTCTTTTGTTCCATGAACATGATCTTGATTTTCCATTCTGGTAACTGGGTGTGTCATACTTCAGAGACTCGCCAGGTACATACAGTACATTTCAGCCTGGAGGTCTAAAAGTTTAGAAGCAAAAATTGTAACTATAAAGCATGCAGAATAGTCCTTGAAAATCCTCCGATACAAGAACGTTTTGAAGCTGAATTTGTAGCAGTCGACATTTTCAACAAGTGGGTTCAAAATTATGATGATGATACTAATAGTAATCCAGTAGATTTCCTCAATTTCTATTTTTAACCACAAGGTCTGTTCTGGAAGCATGAGATTATCTTCCGGGTCAGGATAAGCACTTTGTGAATCCAGCGTATGCATGGATTATGCTCAGAGGAGAACCCATTGGCAATGCCATCCCCATCAATGTGGGAAGCCCTCACATGAACACCATTCAGAGGTGTTCAATTTGGTGCATCAGCCAGAGGAGAACCCATTGAGGGCTTCCCATCAATGTGGGAAGCCCTCACATTCAGAGGTGTTCAATTTGGTGCATCAGCATTTGAATAAAATGCAAGATTGCAAGCACATTACCTTTTTCTTTCAAAAGAAATTAAATAAATTAGCGTGCTTGGAGTCAGATCTTCACCCTCTTGGATGTTCCATATTTTGAATTAAAAGGGATCAGCAGAGAGGCTGTTTGGGGGTTGATGGATTTTGAGATGCTAAAACTTGCATCTAACTTTTAAACAAAGTCCTCTGTGTTTCCAGTTTCGCTTTTTTACTAGGCCTGAGGGTTTTTTGCTTGGCTCGCAAGAGATGGCTGTGTAGGTAGTGCCTGCTTTCAAGGCACAACAGAGCAACCTCTCCTGCCACTCCAGCCAGGCCTTGACAGCAAAATGAACTTGATTCCTAGCCAAATCCTATTCAGGTAGGTTAGGATGGAGCCAAGCAAAACTCTGAATGGAGGCGTCATTGGAATATCCTTCACCTGTCCGGCCTTTTGCAATATTATCAGTTACCGCTGGTTGTTAGAATGTTACTTTCCCATCATTTCCAAAGTTAAGAAAGCTCCTCAAGGATGACTGTAGATTGTCCTGTTGAGAGCTGACTTACGTTGACTGTAAGAAGCCTGTTTTTATCCCCTTCCTGTTGTTGCTTTAGACACACTTTTGAATAAAGATGGATGGTGCAGGAATGTACAGGGCGGTGTGCACTATTCATGTTCCCAGTTTTGTGTTACTGTTTGTTACCTTCATAACATTTCCTGTTTCTCTTTTGGAGGGCTTTTAAGGCTTTATCTTTTGCCGTGAAGACTGTTATCTGTGGCAATCCCTCATGGGATTCCATAGGGCTTCCCCCCCACACACACACCCCAAGATAACTCTGTAGCTAATCATTTTTACTGCCTCCAAAGGCACATGATCGGTGGAATTTAAAGCTGCTGAGCAGATCTCTGGGTTCTTTCTGCTTTGGGCCAGAGAGAAAGCCTTTCTCTATTTCCTGATTCCCACTGGTTTTATTATTATTTTGGCCCAAAATTGTTTTTCCTCCCGTATCACTTTCTTATGAGAAGGCCAACACAGCACTAAATCAGCCATATCACTGTTCTGTCGTCCCTCCAACAGGAGCATAGATAGGAAACCCATGCCAGTCACTGCCCTTTAATATGGTGGGCAGGCTGCACAGATGATTTTCCAGAACAAGCCTGCCTTGCCTCAGAAGATTTACATAGGGGCAGAGGGAAGCTCTCCAAATTCAAGAGGCAGAATTCCTCCCTCCCCAGCAAGGAGCCTCACAAGACTCTTGAAACCCAAGCAGCTGTTTCCCATTTGAATGTTGCTGTCTGTAATGAAATGTGGTTCAGAGCAGCTGTCTTTTACCCAACAGGGCAGTCTCGACTGGTGATCACCTCTCATGCCTTTCTTTGGTGGTTGATGAAGGGGATCTCTGTGTTTCAAGAAAAGAAAATCTGGTTTTAAACATCATGACTTTTCTCAAAAGAAGTAGGTGAGGGAAAGAAGAATCCTCTCTTGAGGAAGTTCTCCTGCCAAAATAAAGATAGACCTAGCTTAGCGTGGTGAAATAAACACAATTCCTGGCCAAAAGTACCGGTTGATTTCATTTCTCACCCACCCCCCTCGTAATCTGTTGATGTGCAGTTTAGGTTTAGTATTCTGAATCATTCCAAAGTAGCGGAAAAAGCCCAGAGTTCATTTGTCATTGGCTCTAATGATTAACTATGGTGTTATTTGCTGCTGGTTTCTAAGATCACCATTTTTTTTCTGTTAGAATCATCCAACCTTTTATAGAAATTTTTTTTGCTTTGAATGTTTAAAAATCCATTTTTTGCTTTTTGTGTGTGGTTTTTTTTAAATCAAACTGTCTCTTGTTCAGTGTTGTCATGATTTTGAAGCTCGTTTTGCTGCACCGTTTAAAAGAATATACATTCTGACAGCTATGTTTATATATATCTTGAGGCTTAGTGTATATATGAGTAGTTTGCCATGGGATAACACAGTGTAAAACAGAGTAGAAAACCCAGAAATCGTGACTTCTGTGTTCTCTCCATTTGAGTATTTTGTAATTTTTTTGAAATATTTGTGGACATAAATAAAAACCAAGCTACACTACAGCCGTTGGATTTTGTTTAACAAGTGTGGCGTGTGCGTATATTAATGGGGCTTGAGGGGCTGCTGACGACAAACTCGTAGCCTTCCAGAGGTGTCGGACTACAACTGCCATCATCCACAGCTAACGGAGCAGAAGTGCCACAGCCAGTTGTAAAGGAAGCAAGATGGCTGCCCTATTGAATGCTGCTGGAGGTAAGCGGATGAGAGTTCAACAGGTATGGCACAGCCTGCAGCAGAACCTCAGCACGAATGTGTTGTGGTTTAGGAGTCTGTGGGGGCGTGTATGCATGCATGGAGGCAGACCTCCACAACCATGACAAAGCTTCCTGGTATTTTTGAAATTCTGTTCAATCAGCATGGAAGCTTTCTCGTGTTAATTTAGCAGAAACAAAATTTGATGTTTTTGCTTTCCACTCAAGGGGGAAAAGTTACTAAATTCTAAACATGTGTGGAACACCTATTGTACTAGAGATGGGAAGGCCTGTGGGGGGGCAGGAACATGGGGGGGAATGAATAAGTTTTCCCCCAAATCTGTTATACAGTTAGGCATCCTTCCGTCTCAAGAGACTGTGGTCACGTGCTTTGAATGGAGGACTTCAAAAAGCATCTCGTGTGGCTGAGGAGGCCAATTCGAGAGGGACCGTCCCTTCCACACTGAAGATGAACACAATCTATCCCCTGTCCAGCTACCTAGTTTTGCTGGTTTTGGGACGCCCTCTTGGCCTCGGCCTGCTGGACAAGGGTCTCTTCAAATTGGGAGAGGCCAGCTTCCAGGCCGAGCGCTCAGCAGTCAAGATGTTCTACATCGCTTCAAAATTCCAGAAAAGGTTGCATCTCTCTACCTTTCAGCCCAAATGAGCTTCCTTTCAATGCTGCCCATCCAAGAACACCTTGCTTTTTACTCCTGGCTCCACAGCTAAACCCGTGGATCCACTTTCACCCCCCTGCCCTTACCTCCTGAATGTCGTCTTCCCAGTTTGGGACAACTTCCAGTTTGCCCAGTAACCGTTCTCTGATGGTTTTTTTCCGGCTTCCCTGCCTCGTCTGGGAAAGTTCTATGTTCTATGCACGATGGACAGAAAGGGGGAATTTTCATTTGGCCCAACAATGGGGAAAAAAGGGACACCTTTCGCCTCTCCAGTTCCTGCCTCCTCGGCGGCTTCTCCAACCAAGCCCAGGAGCCCTGGTAGGGCAGAAAGTTGGCAGCCATCCCTTGTAGGATCCTATGGAGAGAAAAATGTGTTCTTTTTTACGTTCTCTCTCACTCCCTCCCCCACTGCACACCTACTGCCGTATATTTTGTCCTTCCGGCAACCCTGCGACTGGCTCAGGACCGGCTGGTGGCCGAGTACGGTTTTGAACCCGGGTTTCCACCGTCTTTTTCGGGGAGCAAAATCAATCAAAGACCCTTCCGTGACTCAGACGACCAGCCTTCCTTTTGATCCTGTGATTTGCTCCTTCTGACGTGCCCAGCATCGCTCTGCTTCGTTTGGGTAGCTATACGACATCCCTGCTATGGCCTTGCAAGGGGGCTAGACGAGAGATTAATTTTACAGTATTAACAGGAGGGCATTTAGGATGTTTTAGCAGATTGTGTGTGGGGAAAAGAAGGGGGGCGGAGAGAAAAACGGCACAGAGGGGGCAAGAGGGTTGGGAGCCCCATCCGCTCTGGGGAACAGGGCACTGCCCGGTGGCGCTGGGGCAGATTCAGCGGTGAGCCCCTGCTCGCCAAGAGTGCACCCTGAACGCAGCGGTGCGGCTTAAATACGGAATTGGGAAAGGGCAGGCTGCTCGATGCCCTTTGGGGGCTCCTTTCCTTCCATTCTGGGTTTTTTTTTAAAAAAAAAAACCTGGGCCTTTTCTCAGAAGGGGCCAGCCGCCCCCTTGGGCTTTTGGGAGGAAAAAAAACCCGGACCTTTTCTCAGAAGGGGCCAGCCGCCCCCTTGGGCTTTTGGGATTCCTTTTTGGCCCAGGTGTGGCTCCTTTGGGGGAAAAGCCCAGAGGAGGAGGAGGAGAAGAAGGAGGGACCTGGCCTTGAGGCGAAAGCTTCTCTTCTCTCCTTCCTCAGCGGGTCAATGGAGCCCCGTGGGACCTTTCTTTCCTCAGGTGAATGACTGACTTTTGGGGGTCCCCTCGCCTCCCCCAAAGAAAAGCTCTCTTTCGACACCCACCCTTTCTCTCCTCTTGCTCTGAGGGGAAAAGGAGGCGGCAGCCATTTCGTGGCAGCCCCCCAAGGTGAGGGAAACTAAAGGGGCTTTTTTCTGCTCTGACTTTTTCTTTCCCCCTGAGGGAGGATAGGGTTTGTTTTTTGTTTTTCTCCACAGCCAGGTTTCTCTCTTTCTCTCTTCATTCCTATATATTTACAGTATTACGGTTTTCGTCTCCACACATACACATGTACATGGAGTTTTTGTCTCCATGTTTACTGTTTTTGTCTCCACACACATGTATGAAGCGAAACATGTATGTGTGTTTCTCTTCATTTCTATATATTTATTACTGTTTTTTCTACACACACAAACACATGTGTGTTTGCTTATATTTAATTGTATTTAGTTTTACTGCTTTTCTCTCCACACACGGACATTTGTTTCTATGTATTTCTATGTATTTATTACTTTTTTTTTCCTCCACACAAACACTGGTAGGGGTGTGTGTGTGTGTGTGTGTGTGTGTGTGAGAGAGAGAGAGAGAGAGAGAGAGAAACAGCAATATATAAATAAAACTGGAATGTCCTGCTCCTTGGGTTTCCAAAGACAGTCCTGGGTCAAGGCCTGTAAACTTATATACCTTACATAAATATTGATTTCCTGGCTGGGGTCCAGGTCTCCACACACCCTTGTTTAATCGGAAAGCAAAAGAAAGAAAAGAGCATCAGTAATATAAAAATCAATTTTGACTGGGAATTTGTTTTAAAATTTCAAAGATTCTCCTCAGGATGCTTTGGAGGTAAAACTGGGCTGTTTTAATTTGATCTCCAGAAGACTTTAGAGCTGATTCTTCTCCCTTCTTTGGGGGTAAAGAAAAGGGCAACATTCATTTATTTTATTGCATTTCCTATCAGGCGCTCAGGCTGGCCTGAAGGGTGCTGTCCTGCCTTTTTCCTCGCAACAGGCTAACTTTTTTTGTATGACAATTTACCTTGAATCAATAAATGCCCACTGGCCTAATAAGATTGCCTAAAATAGCTGAGTTGAGATTTACGCTAGATCCTCTCCCTCCAAGCCCTAAAACCCCAAACTAAACCATTTTTTTCCTTTCTTTCTTGCAGCCAACCCTGTGCCAGGACTAAGTCCTGTCAGCCAGAACGGTTGCACCTGCAAGGCGTGCTAAATTTTGGAAGGAAATGCCCTCAGGTTAAGAAATCATGGTGGGCGCTGATTGTTGTGCTCTGTGGGATGTGACAGGTCCAGCCTACAGAGATTTGTTTTTTCATTTTTTGCACTCGAGGCAATTTCCCTCCAAAATTTGATGCATTAGGGTGGGATAAAACCCCTACAGGATTTGGAACATCTTCTCAAGGAAGATAAGACTGTTGTGATGCCTTCTTCAGTTGTATGACTGAATTAAAAGCACAGGAGCCTGTCTGGGGGTGGGGGAGGCAATCCTGCTCCTTTTCTCTCTCTGAGTTGTGTGCCTTTTAATTTTGGAGTTTAATTTTCTTGTCCTCTCTAAATTCAATGCAGTGCAAGCTCCGGGAACGAGTGCAATTAAAATCAGAATGCATCCAAATAGGATGCCAACTTTTCCTCTGGGTGGGCTCCACCGTCCTTAAAATTTGACAGAAATCAAAACAGTAACCGTCAGCATGGCTTTATTTACACTTTTTGAAAATCAAGTGGGCGGGTCAGAACTGGATGAGGGACTATTTCTGTAGCCAGCCAAATTATTCTGACATGGGAAGGACCTCACAAACACTTCTCACCCTCCCTGGTCGTAAAAATACAATAACAATGAAGAATCTAATGATCAGTTTGTTGCACTAATCTTTGCACCCTGAGGAGGCTTTACTTGATGAGGATGGCCTCGAATTAAGCTCCCTCAAACCACAGCTATATAGTTGCCAGTTCAAGAGACAATTTATCAAACTAGGGCCACAACATGATTGGCTAGATAAACCTCTTTAAAAGATTTTGGGTTCACTTTTCAGGCCAGTCCTAGTTCTACCTCTCAGGGATGTTGTGAAGGTAAGTTTGAAGAGGACAAGAGCTATGCATGCAGCCAAGAGCTTGCCGAAAGAAAGGTGGGATGTGTATATAATAAATAATAACTCTATGGCAGAGAGGAAAATAGAAGGCAGTGGCTCCAGACTTCTCTCATGAAGCATGAGATTAAACAGGTTTTGCAGGTTTTATGCCTACTGTCTATCGTTTTGGACTGCAAAGTCCAAAGGAATTGCTGAAATATAATCATGCCGGCTAGAGCCTATGAGAGCTGCAACCCATCTGGAGTGTGCCAGGTTAGGGAAGTCTGTGCTAGAGAAAGATAGCAGTAATGTATGCGACCTTGGGAGAAAGGTGGGGTAAAATATTTTAAATAAATAAATAATGTGCCATCAAGTCAATTCTGACTTAGGGCAACCCCTTTTTAAAAGGTTTTCCAGGTCGAGAAAGTACTCAGAAATCATTTTTCCGTTTCCTTCATCCAGGGGTGCCCTGGGACTATGCAACTTGCCCAAGGCCACCCAGGCTGGCCTGTCCCCCAAGGAGGCACAGTGAGGGGGACTCGAACTCCCAACCCTCTGGCTTCGCAGCCAGCTACCTAAACCCTATAAAGATACTCAATCCCCCCTTTTTACAGAGCAAGCAACCAAAATATTTTGTTGTTTGACACACGAACCAAAACATATACACATGCACAGGGTCGAGATGTATAATACCTGCAGTTAGTTTGACATCAGATGGCACCAGTGCCTTTCCCTGTCTTGGCAGCAGAATAATAACAGCAGGTCATTTTTTGTTCTTTCGTGACATTTCAAACAACACACCTGAAGCAGCCGCATGACTTTTGCTTTGCTGTCTGATGGGACCAACACAATATAAATACCAATAATAAATGGAGCCTTCCTGTTCATTTAGCATGATAGGTCTCGTAGGATGCTTTAGCTGCACTCCGGTGTGGGCTTCTGGTCTGATCCACATTTTTGTTTCCCTCTTTTTCCTGTCTAACTCAGGTTCTCTGAGCTGTGTCCTTGTTTTATTCAACTGAAGCTCATGCCGAGGGTCCAGAATTGATCTACCGCAGCAAAACTCCTTCATCTAAATGTAAATGCTACCTCCTTGCCTCAGGCTGGTGCTGCTTCAGTATCACCACCACCTCCCCAGGAAATGGATGCAAGGTAATTCCAGCACTCCAAAATCGTTTTTTATTAATGTAGAGGGAAAAAAGCTGTGTCTAAATGCTTTTTGGAATTTTATTGTTATGAGATGACAGCAGCTGTCTTCATAATGGGCTGAGGGATGAACTGAAGGCCACCAGTGGATAAATAGTCATACTGAGGCAGGATGTGGTGAAAATCCTAGAGCTACAGAAACCTTGACTGTACCTGAGGGTTTACACCAGTGGTTCCCAAACATGGGGCCTCAGGTGTTTTGGGCTTACAGTTCCCAGAAGCCTTAGCCAGCGCCGTTAATGGATAGAACCTCTGTGAATTTGAATTAGGGATGGGATTTTTGTATTTTTTTTTATGACAAATCCCATAATTCCCCATTCTGTGAGTTCTTCCTGCTTTACACACACCTTACAAGCACCTAAATGTGGTTCCCCTGGGAGAAAAGACCTAACCTAAAAAGCTTTGTAGCTTGGCTAGGCCTTGCTTCCTGTTCCCAGCTGGCACTGGGGAAAAAAACATGAAGCTTGGGTGGAGGTAGGCCTAACTAAGCCACAAAGCTTTACAGTTAGGGCCTTTTCTGCACAGCGACCACCTTTCCGTGGCTGTAAGGTCAGTGCTAACCAGGTAGAACTCCCCAAATGGGGAATTATGGGATTTGTAATCCAAGAAATTCAAACATCCCACCATAATTGTAGTCCAGGGGCATCTGAGAGTTCATGGTTGGAAACAAGAGGGTGCCGGATGGGCTGCATGGCACAGATCTCTCTCCTCCAACCAAGGAAGTGACAGGTACACTCAGAAGAAGCAGACCCCAATCCTGCTGCTCCTGTCCACCTGGCATTTGTTGTTTTGCCTAATAATAAGGTTGGGCTTGACTCTCCAAATGTCCATGTCCTGCTTATTCTTTCTGTTGTTCTTTTTATTTTAAAAATCTAGCGAACGTGGGCATTCATAAACTCACTCCCATGCAGTAGGGTAATCAGAATTCATCTTAGTGTACCAAATTTCAGTTAAATCATATTTTTTTTCACCTCCTCTCTGTTTTGAGGATGTTGTTCTGATTTTAAGCTAATAGGCAGACAACCATTCCCTGGGACTCCCCATTCTTTCTCCCTGTGTTGAGTACCATTGACAGCCGCCATTCCCTGGGACTCCCCATTCTTTCTTGAGTTCTCCCTGTGTTGAGTACCATTGACAGCCAGGTGGGGCAATGGTTCAACGTCAGTGACGGATCTGCAGCTTTAAGCATGATGGCAGGTGGATCTACCTAGAAGCAAGAGACCAACACATTCCTGGAGCAAAACGCGACAGCCTGAGGCAACTGGCAAGGCATCTATGAGACATGCCATGGGCCCGAACACCAATTGGCAGTACAAAATTCATTGCAGCACTCTGGAGGTGTGGTCTATGAGGGGCATTATGGGGAACTCTTGTCATTAGAGAACATGGGCTTTTATTCTTATGTGTTTCAGCAGTGGGTAAAACAATGTGGATTGAGTTTTTTTTAAAGCCAGGTGTCATTATCTAGGTGCACTGTGACCCATAATGATAACTAATGTTGTCTACTACTGAATAGAGACACTGCTGCATGTTGACATTTGACCAGCAGGTGGCAGCATCGACTAAAGAAAGCCTAACATTCCTAATACTGTACATTTAAAAGAGTCTGTCTCCCAAGCCCGATTCGCTAAAAATACCTACCATGGAAAGAAAAGAGAGCTACAGAAAAGGAAAGCTCAAATAATTGAATATTCCACCTTTTTAAAAAGAGTTCTGCCTATCCGCGCTGGCCAGGGCAGTTTTTTTAAAAAAATATGTTTTCTGACAAACAATACAAAGGAATCTGCCACAGATGAGATCTGGAATGATTTGACAGCAAAGTCTTTATACTCCGAAGTAGCGAAGGTCTACTCTAGATCATAATGTCTGATTTGAGCAAAAAATCCTCGATAGGCACAAATAAGAAGGATAGTTTTATTAGCAGTGGTTTCCAACCTTGAGTAACCTGGATGTTTTTGGGCTGAAGTTCCCCGAAAAAGCCTTCGCCTCTAGCTGTCCTGGTCAGGGTTTCTGGGAAATCCAGTCTAAGACCAACTGGGTTAACCAAGGTTGGGGACCACTTTGCTAAAGAAAATTGCGAACACGAGAACCACCCAAATTACAGTCCTAGTGGGATTTTTCTAAGGTTTGTTTGTTTGTTTTTGGGGTGGGGTTGCTTGGGCCAGGGGTAAGGAAAGACTTTTATATTCAGACAGGCTCGGAAGCAACAGATTCACTGCTGAAGACGACACTTCAAACAGGTGAGTGCTGTACTTTTTTATTGATATGCTTTTAAATTGCTTTCATTTCAGTTGCCTCTGAGTACCATAATTTAGTTGTGTATTAACTGCATCTTAATATTATGATACGTATTTGCCAACAAGCAGAAATACAAAAACTGCTGCAGAAAAACTATGACAAGAGTTCAATGATCAGTTCCGTTTTCATGCCAGTGAATAATAGGACTTAGGCATCATGTTTTGAGTGGGCACAGACTGCATGTTCATAAATGGCCAATCTTAAGCCCATGTGGTTTTACTCTGCAAAGGCAATCAAGATGGTTTGGTGGGGGATCTGACCCTTTCCAAGATTTAGGAAAGCTTAGGACAGTCTCCAGCACTGGTGATAAGATCAGCTGAGATCCGTTCACAGCTACAGAGTACCAAATAGAACTAGGGGAGCAGGTAATACTTGCATCTTGCTGGCAACTGACATCCAGCTAAATGACTTCTTGATGTATATTTCATGGGGTGTCAGTTTCTTTTACCACAAGTTTTTGTAAATTAAATGAATGTGCAGGCTAAAATTAATCTGACATAAAGATGCCATGGATCTCTTTTTCTTTCTTTCTTTCTTTCTTTCTTTCTTTCTTTCTTTCTTTCTTTCTTTCTTTCTTTCTTCAAACATCTCTTGTGCATTTTTGTGGTGAAGTGCAATCCTGCATTCTGGCCAGTAGATGGCACTGCTGTCTATGTTTTGGTATATCCCAGCCTTTTAGGGGTTATTGATTAAACCTGACCATCAAAATAAGCTGTGCAGTTCCGTGAGCAATTAAGTAGAAATCGGTAGGGTAGAACAACTAACTCTTTCCAGCTCCCATGCATCCCAGCCGCGTGATAAAAATCTACAAGACTCCCCATCCCCACCAAGAACTTGGAAAGGTGATTTTTTTTTCACAATGTGCCCCAGACTGCATGGCCAGTGAGGCTGATTGACACAAACTGCAGGATTGGAAAATTTTTAATCTCAGAAATTAACATTTTCCAAGCAGTATTGTAGTGCTTGAGTTCCCAACATTAGAAATAATAACAATGAGATTCAGAGTTTTCGTAACAATGACTAAGAATTCACTCTTTCCGTCAAAGTCCAAATTCTGAAATTGTGACATCCTGTGTCTTACCTTCTGCAAATTATCTGTCAAAGAAACTGGTTCCCAACCTTGGGTCCCCAGAGGTTATTAGACTACAACTCCCATAAATCCTAACCAGCACGGGTCTCTGTTGAAGGCTTCTGGGAGTTGTAGTCCAAGAGCCTCTGGGGACCCAATGTTGGGAACTTTTTTTTTTGACACAATTGCTTTCCGTTTGTACATTCAGTGTTTCTCCTAGTTCCCCATGTCACCAACTGACTGAGTAAATGTATCAACAGAATACATAGACATGTCCTTCCTGGAAAAATGCAGGATTTTGTTTCCCTCATGGTGGGATTATGTTTTAAGATCCATTTGCTTTTCAAAAGGTCTGCCCCATTAGGTCTAGTTTCTGATATGGAACAACCCAGCTACTCAATTCCTTTTTAAACGTGGAGGCATGTGTTAAGAAGCTAATGGCGTTGACTGTATTACAAAATCTGCTCCTACACCGATTCCGGCACTCAAACACAGTGTGTCTGGATCAGCTCCTGGTAAAGTAAGGTGGGTATGTTTAAAGACTAGCCCTTCCCCTCATCCCCACAAGACGATCAAAACTGGCATCTAAAATTGCCCACTCTGAACTTTTGGAGCTCAGCACTTTTGGAGTAGCAACCATTAACAATTTTGTCAATTTTGTTATCATCCTGGGCCTCCTAGTTTCTCCAGCAGTACCCATCAAATTGATGGACAATTTACCTAGTTTATCTTGTTCTTCCATTTGGACAGTAGGGGGCGCTCCAGCCACATCTCTGTTTTTTTTTTTAAAGTGTGCCTTTTTCCTGGGAGTAAAAATTAAAAAATAAAGAAAACATGCTGAACGTAATAGGGTTACAATTTGAAAAAGTGGACTTAATAATATCAGAACTGCAGAGCTAGAAGGGACCCCCTGGATCATCAAGTCCAGCTCCTGTCAAAGAGGCACAGCAAGGAATCAAACTCCCCAACCTTGGACTCCGTAGCCCGATGCCTAAGCCACTGACAGTGTGCTGTGTACTCTTTTCCTATGTCTGTTCCTGAGCTTCAGTGATTACAACCCCATTACATACTTCTAGCTCTTTCTCTAGATCCCTAGAAAACATGAAGGATAATTTTTCTGTTGTGTTTTTTCCCTCAAGTATTTTAACGAAAATCCCAAGTCCCCCCTGAAAGTCCAAGGCAAAAAGGTGACATTTTAGACATTTAGACACAGGAAAAAGCAAAATACCTTTTAGGTATAGAAGCTGGATTGCAAACTTTGAATGATCTGTTGTTTTTAAAATAAAAATATTTTGAAAAGGGAAAGGGACATGGCTCGGAGCATCAGAATGCATGTTTGAAATGGAGGGGGGGGGGCTCACATCCAGTCTTTGCCATTTGCAGCTGAACGTTCAGTTAACAGACGTGGAGAGATTGTTGCCTCAAGAGAGCTGCTGCACATAAAAACAAGCAATATTAGCATTTAAGGATGTTTTGGCTGTCATGAAGGTGGACTCAAGAACCTTTAGCCTCCAGGTGTTTGGGCTAAACATTCCCAACCCCTCCTGTGGACTAGCTTGCACAAAAAAAATTTACATTTTTATTTCTTGGTCTAACAAAGAAGTCATCACAGTCAGTATTCTGGAAAAAATAACTTTTCTGCATTCTGCATCGGTCAACTTTTTCTGCACGTTAAGAAAAATCATAGGTGCTTTTTTAAAGAAGGTACGTCAGGGCCAAAGGGACTCCCCATTAACTTTTATCTTTGCTGCATTCCCCCAATTCCTTTCCAGTTCTATCCTTAAATTTTGTGGATCAAAGCTGGGCAGTTTATTTAATTTTTCAAAAAAATGTAAAAGCTTTACAGTCCTCTTTTCCAAAGCTTCCAAGCAGAACGTAATGGAAACCCTGAGAAAGAAGCCTACAAAAACAAACTATTAATGTACAGTATATGTCATACACCCTCTTTTAAAACCATGAGAAATGTCAGCAGCCATTATACATATGTGAAGAATGTTCCGCCAAAGGTAAAAACTTGGCAAAATGGAAGAAAAACAAATCACGTCCTTACTCGGTTGGCACCAAAACATGCAAAGAAGAAAAAAAGAATTATGCCAGTCTGACGGAAAGACTTTTCCCAGAAATAAGAGGTGGAAGAATGTGGAAATTGGCAGCCTCCTGTAAGGGTAGGCCAGCGGCAACCCACAGAGGTCCCAATCTCAGGTCTAAATCTTCTACCCCTGTCAACAGAGGTTCTTCTTCCCCAACCCAAACCCAGGTTGGACAGGGTGCCCTCTTCACATCCAAGGCTTTAACGAAAGCCAGAGATCAAGGGTGCTTCTTCACCACTTTGGCTGAGCAATATCCAAGACGCTTCGAGGGGTGTTGCTACTCCTTTGAAATTTTAATATCTCCGCCGTCTGTGACGGTGCTGGTAACAGGAGGAGGGAGAGCTGAAGCAGCAAGGCTGGGCTTCTTCCCAGAATATATGCCACTGCTGGCGGATGATTCCTGGTTGTCTATTTTTAATTGCATGCTCTGTAGACCTTTAGAAGAGGGAAGTCTCTCTGCAAAAGTATGGAGGAGGGGGGGCGGGGACAGGCTGGCAGTCTCCTGTTTGCTAAATGTTGCATGGTGATGAAAAAGTGGAGGCTTACAACAGGGATCTGCAGAATTATTGATTTCTCAAACCCCTGAGCCTGTAAACAGGTTCCCGGGAGGGTATGTTAAATTACCTGGGCTGGGATCCTCCTGTAGTTCCGTCATTCAGCCAGGCCCGGGGAGGGGGCGCCATAGATTCCAAAGCCATGTTGGCTGGGCCGAACCTGCTGTTAGGCAGAGTGGGCCAGCTCCCATAGGTGGTGGATGCTGAAGGGCAGAGAGCAGGCAAAAGCTGTGTATGCTATGTTATGTATCACAACCCTTTATGCTGCTGTCACGCAAGCAGGAAAAGCCAGGATTGTCAGCTTTTCTATGTGAGGTGCTGCTTTTCTCCTTCAGTTTGGAGAAACCTGCAGGATGATCAAAACAGGATCCGGTCCCGTCCGCCCCCTTCCCAATCCTGCTGTGCTTTGTCTTTTCAGCAAGAATTCTCCACCTTTTGTGGATGCACTCCTCCCAAGATTTTTCAGAAAACAGCTGTTTTTGTAAAAGGCCCCTATCGAACCATTAACACAGCTGACCCAACTGGAACAGTGACCATGAGAATGCTATTGAGCATAACTTTGATTTAGGGTCTCTATCTTTTGGAGGCACAGAAGGTCACAAGTTTAACTCCTTCCCTCTACTAGTTCCTGGCATCTTCAGAAGCCTACGCTGGCTCCTTTCCTTCCATCTGCAAGGTGGCTATTAAAACCAGATCTCGGGTGGCCTCACCTTGGCCTCTCTTTGCTAAGTTATCAGCTGTTTCTTTCTTTTGGCAGAAAAGCAATACATGAAGTATACTCAGTAAAATTCTTTGATATAACTGGCCCGGGAGCAGAACCACCAGGTGAAACCCTGCCCATTTTAAAACATTTAGTAAGAAGTATTAATGGACACCCTGCTATTTTTATCAGACTACCTAGCAGTGGTTTACGATTAAATAATAAGCCTTTTGAAGCAGCATTATAGCAATTCCATAAAATTTCCTACAAATCAGGAATATGCAGAAATGATAAATCATTAGCCACCAACTAATTATTGGTAAGTGTCAAGAGCCAACTCTTTTTTTTTTTCCCTTTTTGCTAAATTTTAGTTTTAAAATTTTTATATGAACATATGCGGTTCACTTTTGAACTTCTTTGGAATGATGAATTTGTCTGTATATGAGATATACTGACAATATGAACTGCTGGATAATTCAGTGGTTGAGAGTTCAATTCCTCGTTGTGCTGGACTA